TCTTAACTTGTGATGTCTTGCTTCCTGAATCTACAAATCAGCTAGCTGTATGGTTTTATTCATTTGAATGAAATTTATGTTTCTAGATGAGAAATTGGGGCTGAGGAGAAACTTATACACCACGTGTGGCCTCAGAAGGCAGACTTGTGTGTCCAGTGACAGGCTGGTGGGGTGGACATGGGACGTTGGCTCAGAGGGTTCTGTTGGAGGACGGGGGAGGGGCCTTGTCCGTCCTTCCATCTGCTGCAGAGCAGCCGCCTGGATGGGACACCCTCCGAGGGGACCTGGGTCTGCAGAGGAGCAGGGCTCCCAGGAGTCTTGTCCGTGGTGGTCGACTTGGCTCCATCTGTCTCTGGGACTGGCTGTACCTCCCTGGGAAGTAGAAGGCAGCCCCCTCATGTCCTGTTTCCAGGCTCTGATGAGCAGCCCGGGTCGAGAGAGGTGGTGGGGGAGGCCGTGGGTCAGGAGAGCCCGGCCCAGCGGAGGGAGGGAGCCGGCGGAGCCGCAGGGCCCCCTGCCTGCTCCTTACCTCACAGGAGGGGCCACACATCGTGAATTTCTGGCAATGAGGTTTAAAAAAGCATTGAGTTTTTTTTTTTCAGAAAATACTTGTTGACATAAAAAATACCTTTCATAAATTGTTAACTTTGAAAGTTATTTTCCACTGATGTCTTCACATTTCATAGTGATCACACGTAGGAGTCGCTTCTGTGTTTGAGTGCCTGCCGTACACCAGGGGGTTACTCGGGCCGTTTCCATTTGGAGCAGTTTGCAGGCACTCCTTCTCGGGAGCCTCAGCGCAGCAGCGAAGGCCGAGCTCCCGGCTCCCTGCTGCTGGGTCGGCCTTGGACCCCAGGCCCCACCCCCGGTAGACATGGTCACCCTGGAGCTGACCACTTGCCTGTTCACTGCTGGTCGAGGTACACCAGGGATTCTGATTGCTCCCTCTCGCATGGTGTGCCCGGACCCAGCCCCACCCGCTCCAAGCCTCCAGCCTGGCAGGTGTGCTCCATGTAGACGTTAAGCCCTGGCTCTGAGCAGCTGGTCAACACAAACTGCCACAGAGGTGTGATCACCGTGGTCTTTATCTCGAAAGCGAGGCCAAGGCACTCCGTCACGCTGCAAATGGCTTCCCCGCAGAGGTGGCACGAGACGCGGCCACAGAGACAGTCAGGCCCTGGACGCAGCCGAGTTTGCCTCCTAGTAGCCTCACCTCTCGCTGGTCTCCCCCAGGTGGCCCTGGTGCAGTGGACGGAGAGCGTCGGCCTCACGCTGGTCAACAGGGACCTGACCTCCATGCAGCTGAGGACGCCCAGCGGCCAGGTCCTGACCTACTGCCTCCTCCAGACCTTCCCATTCACCTCGGAGATCAAGCGGATGGGGGTCATTGTCAGGGTAGGCCTGGCCTGTTCCCAGCCGGCCCTCAGCCACGGTCACCGGGAGGACGCCGCACTGGGTCCCGGGGACTCACTTCAGTGCTTTACGCTTGTTGCGGGTTTTTTTTTAAAAAAAGTCCAGGCTGATCAATTTATGCTGGAAAGCCGGTGTGGCTCTGGCGGTAGTGACTTAAAACCACCCCCTGAGACTAAAGCGGAGAGCAGGTGGGGTTGTTTGTGAACTTTTGACACCGGCTCAGCCTGCTTTGTCTTGTTTCCCGCAGCAGTGACGTGCCACAGAGTTCAACTGAAGGATGATTTATGGCCATAAAGTTGCTAAAATATACCCCTATTAAATTTTTTTTAGCAAATGCCACAAGTACATCTTGGCAGTTGGCTAAGTGAGGAAGCTTACTCAATCAAACCATGAAAATTTGAGAGAATTAATGTTTACCTTACAGTCCAAGGCATCTAATCACTTACAAATTTTATTGCAAAAACCTCCGCACAGCGTCTCGAGATCTGTGGTTATGTTCGGTTATGTTCTTGGTTGTTGAGTGCCCGAGCATCCAGGGAGGACGTAGCCCTGCGTGGAAGGGCGTTTGGGGAGTGCGCCCCTCGGGGTTTGCTCAGAGAACTGCTTTTCCTGGCACGGTTCTGCTGGAGCAGCTGAAACCTGCCAGGAGCAGCGTGGCCTCTACCCTGTCTCCTCTGTCTGCTTGCAGGACGAGTCCACGGCCGAGATCACGTTCTATATGAAAGGTGCGGACACTGCCATGTCCACCATTGTCCAGTACAACGACTGGCTGGAGGAGGAGGTAAGAGCTGTCTGTCCACCGAGCAGCATGTCTTTCCGCGACGCGGGGGCCAAGGCAGGAACGCAGCACCTTGTTGGGTGTTGATGCTCCCTGGTGTCGCTGGGATAAACTGAGGCCCTGCTTGCCAGCCAGACACGACAGCTGTCAGAGACACATCATCTGAGGTGATTTCAGTTCCTCTCGATTTTGAAAAGCAGAAAGGATAGGAATGCCGTTACTCGGTCTACTTTCCATGTAAACATTCGGGGTTTTGTGTGAGTGCACATACATCAAGGTGGGTCCTTATGGAAAATACTTTTTGTTAGTGACAAAACGGCATTACTGGTCACTCACTAAAAAATTCTGAAATAATACTGCGTGCATAGTCCAGATTATATTTTAATGTGATATTTATTTTATGACCTAAGTTATTTGCAGGGAGATTTTAATTAGGATTTTAATCTCACTCTGATTTGTGCGTAGGATTCACCTTAAACACAGAAAATAAGATGCAAGTGTAGCCGATCCTGTATTTCCTTAAGTTCTCCCTGAGCAAACGTAACACGTTCAGCTTCACGAGGTTATATTGTTTGTTGTTTACATTGATGTGTTAAGAAGAAGTTAGGTTTCAGAGTGAAACTAAATTATTGAAGTTACAAACAGCGCTCTTTACTTGTGTGCTGTTGATGGGCCTCGTGTCCCCCCGGCCCCGAGACGGCCTGGCAGCCCAGCGGCCGCACCCCGCGTCCTCGGCGGTTATTGGCAATATGAGTCAATAGCTCCTTCAGGCGCTGGATTTAATCAGAGCCATGAATAAATTAAACTCCCTGAAGACCTAGTGACATGCCATAAAAATTACTTTTGGTCATAATGATGTGCAATTAATTATAAAATACTTGTTTAATTTATTTAGCTTTATGAGGTCAAATCGATAAATGTCTTGCAACAGACAGATAATGTCAGATTGTTTTTCACAAAGATAACTTTATTAAAAATCCTTTGTCCCTTTATTTCCAACATTGTATTTTCTCCCGTAGATAAATCTGGCCCTCCACCCCTGTCTCTGTTGTAACATTGTTACCATCTGCAGGCCTTTCCCTCTGTTACAAAGCCAGCAGGTTCTCAGGGCCTGTGTTCACAGGGGCTGCTCCATGTCAGGACAACGCCCACGTTGGATTCTTGGCTATAAACTTGTGTTCCCCAAATACTGAAAGACTAACGCTAACCCACACTTTCACCCATACGATGGAAAGGCCCAGCTTTGTCCCATGTGCAGGGTCTGATGGCACCGTGTCCCGCAGGGGAGGTGCTGCGGGTTGGCCTCCTGCTCTCTGCCCCCCACCCCGACATGCTGTTTGTCGCGAATGAAACAGGAAGTTAGAACGGGTGGGGCAGCTAGAAGGGGCACCGTGACCCCCTCCCCCCGGCGTGCCCTGGCTCCCCCGGGCCGAGCGCGTCTGAGGTGGGGCCCCACGAGCTGGGACCCCTGCCAGCCCCTCCTGCGGGTCACGGTCTGCATGTTCATGGGTGGGTGGGCGGACACCAGCACTTGCAGTGCTGGCTTTCAGAAAGCCTGGTCTGAGGTGGAAGAGAAGTGTTATCTGGGGCTGGCACTGTGTGCCTTCATGGCTAGTCCCCCTGCGTCCCCTCCCGAGTCAGGAAGAGCAGGGCCACTCCCACGGGGACTGGCCAGGGCGTGGGGATGAGAGAGGCCTCCTGCAGCAAGGGGCGGACGCAGCCTTGGGGCCTTGTCACGGTCGCAGTGGGCTGGGCTGTGTGCGACCTGCATCTCCTCCTGCAGTGTGGGAACATGGCCCGCGAAGGCCTGCGCACCCTCGTGGTGGCCAAGAAGGCGCTGACGGAGGAGCAGTACCAGGACTTCGAGGTGAGCCCGTTCCTCCTCCCCCGAGGTCGCCTGCCCGTAGGAGGCCTGGCGTCCCTGTCTCGAGAGCTCGGACCGCCCGTGCGGCCACAGCCTCCTTCCTTGGGGAAGGGGCGCCAGCGAGGCACAAAGTGTACATTCCTCCAGGGCGGGCGGACCCTGTGCGGCCGACAGCAGGGCCCGTCCATCCACAGAGTCGATACAACCAGGCCAGGCTGAGCCTGCACGACAGGGCGCTCAAGGTGGCCGCGGTGGTGGAGAGCCTGGAGCGCGAGATGGAGCTGCTGTGCCTGACAGGGGTGGAGGACCAGCTGCAGGCGGGCGTGCGGCCCACCCTGGAGATGCTGCGGAACGCCGGCATCAAGGTAATGATCCAGGCCGGCCTCCACTCCCCAAAGGGCATCCTGTGCCATCAGACGAGGCTACAGGTGTGGGGGCTCCTTGAGCAGAGGTTGCTGCCTGCTCCCATACCTGCCCTTGCAGAACCCCGAGCCCCTCCCACTGTCCCTCAGACACAGCGGTCCCTCGGGCGCTCCACCCCGCCCCTTACTGGCCACCTCCCATCTCCTGGGCGAGTCCGGCTCCTCTGCTGCCCTCCCAGTGGCCCGTCCTCAAGCCGGCCTCCCAGCTCAGCTTCTCCCCACAGCAGCCTCCTCGTCCTTGGAGCCTCCATCCCAGTGCCTCCATGAGCGAGGGCGTGAGTGTGTGGGTCTGGCATGGCCACCGGTCCCCTCCCTGAGGATGCTCCACGTTCACCCTCCAGAACTTTCTGTCTGGCAGAACCAGGTGTTAAGGCGAGGTCACACAGAGACCACTGCACCCACTCACTTTATCGATGTTTGGTGGTTTTCCCCGTAAACTGCACGAGGCCCGTGCCCCCGCCTGCTGCTCGCTGTCCTGTGGTCCTCTCCTGACGGTGGGAATCAGCGCGGGTGCCGCGGGTCCGTTTTCAGGGAGCTACTTTCCTGCCTTACGTGCTCCCATGGAAGCTGAGAGGTCCATTACTTAGGGAAAGGTGAGAAAACTAATTTTAGTGCTGCCTCGAGCACCGGCCCTCCTCTTTGAGATGGAGAAGAGGACTGCAGGCTGGTTACTGGTACCGGCTGGACCGGAGAGGC